GGAATTTAGACCAATACCCATTTACAGAAGCTACTATTTAAACACGCGCATCGCACAAGTGCAGGCACGGCAAAGAATGTCCTGTCCATTTAGGGTTTATGGGGTTATATAGGGATAACGGAAAAGAAAATGGAAGCTACTATTTGGGGTTTAGGGTTTTGGTTGGGTCCTGCCCCACCCATTAACAGTCTACAGTAGGGGCAAGAATAAGGGCTACATTTTAGTCGGCTTGGGTGTATACTCCCGCCCCCTACTTTCGTAGCGTTTGCACCAACAATTCCATGTAGCGCTCATTAATCTCGTTAGATTTTGTATGTTCCACTAGAGTTTATAACCCTCATATTCCTAAGTCTCAGATGTCGAATATATGCATGAAATAGGCACCTTGGATAAGCAAAGCTTGCATACAGCTAACTAATATTGAATTGCAAATTAGAAATTCAAAGCACCTTTTTACGAATGTTCCCGATCACTGTGAAGCATTAAACCATTGAACCTTATCACCATGAAACCGTCAAACCAATGGTTTTCCCCACATGGAAATCCAGTGAGCCATTGAACCATTTACGAGTTTTCGTTTAATGGTTGAATGGTTCATGCTTCAATGGCTCATTGGGTTAAATGTTTACTGGATTTCCATATGGATAAAACCATTGGTTTAATGGTTCAATGGTTCAATGGTCCACCTCACCTGTTTCCAAACAACCCCAACGTTTCGAAAACACACAATATCTTACTTATAAAGCATATTGCATGAGGAAGTTCCGAGACAGGCAACATCTTATTTACAAAAACATATTGTACAATAAATACATGTAGTGTAAGGAAATTGCACGAAAAGGGGGAAGAGGGGTATACCCTTGTGCCCGTATGAGCATACTATGAATACTCTTCCAACTCTTATTGAGTGGGGGCAGTACTCAAGGTAGCTCTGCCGCCGCAACAAGTTCGACTCTCGGCTCTGCGCATTCTCGATCAACTGTGGCAAAAAGCTGGGCGTTCTTTCAGGTTACTGGTGGTTAGCGGGCATCAAGCGAATATAATCCCTATATAATCCGTATATAATCCTTGCCTATATAATAGATTCCCTTATTCCCTACTAACCCCAGTAGGTCATGGAATATCCCTATCTCCTTACTGCTTAGAATAGTCCCTATATGATCCCCACTTCTACCCCAAAAATACGACTCCCTATATTAACTCCCCCTAAACCCCAAACCCTATATCCTAATCCTAAACCCTTAAGCACCAGGAAGTATCCTTTGCAGTCAAGGATGCTCCCGGCCATCGTTCTGGCGGTTTGGCTTGTCAGAGGCGAGTTTGAAAATTCTTCCACGGCCAGCCCCTGCGTGTCAATTTATTACGATGACTAACTATTACTAATACTGTTTATAATTGCATACTATCATTACTGTTTGTATAATTAGCATCAATACTATTATTACAACGAATGAAAACTATGACATTTGAAATGAAGCATGGCCCGTTGCTGTTGGCCTCGTTGGCAGCACACTTCGAAATGAAGCTTTGTAGACGTTCCGGCGAGCGGTCCATGAGGTGCTAGGAGAGGTTTCTTATTTGAACATGTATTGAGCAGAAGAAATGCATGAGTCGGCTAGGGTAGCTGGGCTTCAAGCAGTGCCATGTGAGCTATAGTCTAAACTCCTAGTATCGCCCTTAATAAGCCCTATAGTAGTCCCCAATATAATCCCCTATAAAACCCCCTTTAAGGAGTTTAGACTATAGCTCATGTGTCATCACGTGTGAGATGCTTGTCATCCTGTTTTTTTGAAGCCTGGGCAGTGGCCCCGCTTCCGCTCCTACCAGCCCTGAGCTCAAGAGCCATCGCAGGTCAAAAAATCCACAGATATCCACTTGCATTTGGGGGTTTCCCAAAATTAGGGGTACCTTTTTGGGGGTCCCAATAATAAGGACTATAATATTTTAGGGTCTATATTGGGGTACCCTCATTTTGGGAAACTACCATTTGGGAATATGAGAATAAATTCGACTTCCTGTTGGCTTGGCGTGAGACGCTTCAAATGCAGGCATTGCATACTGCGTCCAGGAACACAATATGCTGTAGTGAGGGGTTAAGACAGCCGGCTGGCAGAGTGGACATTGCAAAATCTATGTACAAAGCAGTCCAAATCTCAGACCTCCAGTAATTCACTTGCACGTGCCTCTCTCCCATGGTTTGTAGCACGCGCGCCAGTGGCCCAAGAAGCCCCTTTCAAAGCTACTGATGCTGCAACCGACGTTATGGACGCCACGTGCTCTGCAACTTCAACTACTGTCCCAGCAAGACTGCCCGTAGAATCCCAAGGCTCCATTGTGTCTTGTCCAGGACATGCATCCGTCTCTGGTAACAGCTCAAGATCCAAAGCTTGGGCAAGGTCACGTACCGCTTGCCAGCCGCCATCGGCCACAGACACATGAGGCCGGCAAGCACCATTGGGCCCTGACAGGTAAAGACACAGTTTGAGAGCCTCTAGCGGGTCATCTGCCAGCAGGCATAAGTGGATCGAAGGCTCGCGAGGGAGGCTTTCTGCAAACTCCTCGAAGTTCTCCCAATCTGGCAATCTCAGGCAAACTGGGAGCCCAGGAAAGCTCAAGTCCCGAAGATCCACAACAACCAGCCGCCATTCGCCTGCCTGGCGCTCGTAGACATGGTGTAGAACCTCGTCAGGAGCAACCGCTCCGATGGGCAGACGAAGCGCGAGGTCACGTGCCTCGGCACCAGACAGGACAGCCAGCATCGACCGCGGCGTAGCAGACAACATCTGCTGCGCCGAGCTCCAGAGCAGGAGAGCAGAAGCAGTGTCTGATGGACTGGACATGTCAGGATTGGCAAGCGCTGCCAGAAGGACAAAGAAGAGGATCATCTGGCTTCCGCTGCGCACCGCTTCATCACAAATTTGCAGCAGTGCCAATGCTAATGACAAATCTTGCGGGGCCGTGCTCGGATCGCAGGGTCTGCCCAGCAGCAGATCCAGCACCATGCTCCCAGGCACTTGGTCCAGAAAAGCAAAGCTTCTCCCATCTGCAGGTGTTGAGCCGATAAGTCGGGGTAGCACCGCCTCAGCTGAGAAGCACTTGACCCTCCAACCGAAGAACCAAAAACAGCTTTAGCAGTAGTCGTTCGATGTGGAAAGCCTGGTGGCAGGATTGTGGTAGCGCAGAAAGATGAGGATCACGGCATCTATGTGATCTTCGCGGAAGTTGAGGAATGCAAGGTGTTTTGCCACAAAAGCTCCAGCCAGGCTCCTCCACTTGTGCTACAAACATGGGAAATGCAAGGGCATGCTGCCATCACTGCACCACGGTTAGTAGACCAACTTGCAGGACTCTGTCCGGCTGATGGCGCTCGTCATCTCGTGACGCCAGGTCTCAAAGAGTCGCAACATGCGCATGGTTGCGAAGGATGCCTCAAATGCGCATCTGACAGCACTACATGCAAAAGACGCGGTTGACCATCAAGCAGGCTGCCTTCACTGACTGCTCGGAGGTGCCCGTCACGGGTCCCGACACCTTGCAAGAGCCCAAGAGTTGGTTCAAAGGACAATAGCAAACAAGTTGGCATACATCCATCTCAGAAGGATGACCGCACTCCCACCCTCCATCGCCTCCACTTCTAGTGCATCCGACCAGGACAGTGGCAGAGGGCTAGGCCTCGTGGCACCCTGCAGATCCACTGGGGACAGTTCTGCGCTTCCGGCCAAAACGGCGCTCAAGTGCGAAACCTGCTCCGGGTCCTTGCAAGCACATTCTGCCTGATCGGAGGTGTCCTGATTTGCCGGTTGCTGGCATACCTGCAGAGGCCCCGGCGTCATGTTCCACAGAGCATCTGCGACCACCGGAGCTGGATTGCTTTCCAAAACCTGGCACCTCTCACGTCTTTCCGACAGCAAAGATTGCAGCTGCATATCCGTAGTTGTATGCCTCTTTTGGCTGATGTCGCAAGCGGGGTTCCAGCTGTATCCGTTCTTGATGGCACAAGTTGCATCCGCCGTCGTGGCCACCGGTTGGGATTCAAATTCCGCGCAAACCTCCCGGCGCCGCTTCATCACATCGCTGAGCGTCTGAGCAGCCACACCGCTTGCACCATTTTCAGAACCCATCCCTGTTTAAGCACAACTCTGGCAGACTTCCATTGCTGCACTGGTACAGGCTGCTGGCATTTCGCACATGCTGGCCTTAAAAACCTGGAGACCATCCTGCGCTAGCAAATGCTCTTCGAGTGCTGTCTGCTGCTGCCATCATCATTGCAAAAAACTGCCATAGGAAATTGAACGAATACAGTAACAACTGACAGGCTCTACACTCTACATCTTCCTGCTGATCGATCCGCAGTCGTCAAGTATATCTTTTGGGGGGAGGATTTGAGGTGGCGGCCAGCATCTGGAAATATGTAAGGCTTTGTGTACTATAGATGAGGCTTAAGCAAGAACATTCCTTGCGGGTGAGGGTCCTGCAGAGTGATACCCAATTGCATCGAAAGCTTTGATTGCTACAAACCGGCAATAGCAGATCAAGGAATTGGCTTCCTTGTTCATTAGCCGGGGAGTGCACATGACACACGCACATGTCAACAGCTGTTTTGAGGCAGCACGCCAACATCCTCTTGCAGCATCCAGGCTTCCGCAAGATTGCATCTGCCTGCATCTGCTCAGGCATACGTCGTGGCAGCTTGCACGCCACACCTTACAGCCTGCCACCCGCAAACCACGTACGCATTTGAAGCGCGAGCACAGCCATCGCGTTGGTGGCACACGTGCCGGACCTATGAGCAAGGAAACGCTGTTGGGCCAAAGCTAACACGTACGGACTTCCGCCTCAAACCCTTCAGGCTGAATAACTTGCACAGGTGTTGCTTCGAGCTCTGACAACAAACTTCACAGTACGTAGAGATATGTAGGGCTTTCTGTCTTCCGTGCGGCGTAGAGTTTCTTTGAGCTAGCTTCGAGCAGTCAGGGTGCTCTGGGCCGCCATGTCGTAGCAATGGGGATCCAACAAGCCCAACTTTCTTAAAGAGCCGAGCACCCCAAATGCAGAAATGCGGCTTAGCGGCTTGGAAACTAAAACAAGAAGCCCTCAACCCTACATACCCTTTGTATATTGACTTTACTTCGGTTCCTTAACAGCAACCCAGATACCCAAGTACTGTCACTAGAACTCATGCCGGGGGCTGAGCTCTGAAAACCAACCCGCCACATCACGCAAGAGCAAATCGCTTCGCTTGAGGAGGATGAGAAGCAGGCCCTTCATTTGTTGCTAATACTCCAGGGGTCCCTTCAAAGGGGAATATGGGGTTCTATAGGGGGATATAAGGTTTCCCAAAATTAGGGGTAACATTTTTTTCCTGCAGAAGGGGTCCGAGCATAGACCCCTAACATACTCTTATCCTTCTCACAGGGACCCTAAAAAATGCTACCCCTAATTTTGGGAAACCCTATATCCCCCTATAGAACCCCCATATTCCCCTTTGAAGGGACCCCTGGTTTTGGGAAACCCCCTCATCCAGGATATCTGTAGCCAAGCTGCAGGATCACCTGCAGCTTGCCAGGCGCGATTTCACCACAAACATCGATGTGCACGCCGCATCCCACAGCCTCAACTAATGGTTTAGGGTTTAGGGTTTAGGGTTTAGGGTCTAAGGTCTAATACTACCAACAATAATAGCAATACTTGTAGTCAAAATATCACCTAACAATCTAACCGAGGTTGTACGGAAGGCTGGTGCAAGCGCCGCGCAACCCTGCAGGCACACTTAAGGTCTACAAAGTGCCAGATTTTGGGGACGACAATAGTAATAGCAATCCTAATAGTAATAGAAACAGTAATAGTAATAGAAATAGTAATAGTAATAATAATAATAGTAATAATAAGACTACTAGTAATAGTAATAGTCATAGTAATAATAAGAATAATGATAATAGTACTAGTAATAAAAATAGTAGAAATAACCTTCAAACATGAGCACCATTGAACACTCATGTGGCAGAGTTTGGCGAACCAAGCACCACCTGCACTGGCCCATCTTCCTGCCAGCAGCTAGCAGGCCATTCTCAACTATGCCCACCAAGAAACTATCTCGGCCAAATGCCCATGCTGGACCAGCGGACCTTTCACTAGCTCGGCTGGCAAAACCAAATGTAGCTGTGAAGGCGGTGATGCAGCAGCTGGTTCGCCTGAGCTGCGTGAAGCGCTTGCCCAAAACTTTCTGTGTGGACTTGCTACTTTCGGAGTGAGGTTCGTCCACTAGATTGCCACCAACAAGAGCACCAAAGCAGAGTCCCGACTTGTAACGTGGGCAGGGCACGCCACCCGGCAGCATCCGCTAAAATAGCCGAAGGCCTTCGAGGCTGCATGTCAGCTCTCTGGAAAAGCATTGGAGCTGGGGAAGGGAGCCCAACATAGGAATAATGGAAAAGAAAATGGAAACTACTATAATCATGGAATATGACATGGAAAAGAAAATGGAAAATGAAATGGAAAATGAAATGGAAACTGGTGTTATGTATAGGTTATATTGGGCTTAGATTTGTTGAGAACCACTCTCCAGCCTTCGGCAAGAATCTCCGGACAGAAAGTGGGAACTAGACCTAGAAACAGCCTAGCAGTCCTTATCCTTGCCATGACTTATGCAACCAAGAGCTTCAAGCACAGTGACAGAGTGACAGTGTCAAAGTCTGGCGAAGTCTATACTAGTCGAGGTTTCTTGAGTCAAGCTACGTCGGCTGAACATCTTGGGTCCTCCTCTCTCCTGCTTCACCTTTCTGCACATCAACGCGAAAACCATGTGGCGGCTCCGGGTGCGGTTCTTGCTGGCCAGACGGAGTTCTGGGCGGGCTGCCAAGCTCTTCACCTTGCGCAGCTTCGGCAAGTTCACGAGGTGGCTTTCCACCTTTCTCGACCGGCTTGCACGCATCACGCCAGTAGTCGCAAATGTCCTTTTCAGAATATGTCGCAGCAAAAGCCACTCGAAACTCTGAAAAAGTATATGCTTTGCCTGACTCGGGCTCGATTCTCTGCTCAGAATCTTCCACCTTGGCATCTGCGCACTTGGCAGATGCGGCAGGAGCTGCGGCAAAGCTTCCATTTGGTTTCTCTGTGCGAGGGGGTGCCGTTGACACAACTGGCCGAACAGGCGTCGGAGAGGCATTTGCTGCATACGCGTCAGCCTTCGCCAATAAACCCAGCACCGCTGCTAGTCGTTCTGAAGGAGCGCCCTCCAATCGAACCACGCGTTCGGTACTTTCTGGGCTTGCAATGTGCGTGTCCTGTGACATGCTGCAAGATGCGCCAGTTTTTGCCACCGTTTCTTCCAGCGGCGCCTCCGGAACAGCCAGAGGGATCAGTATACGCGTATCTTGGATTGACTGTGGGGCAGAGTCCATTTCTTTGAAGCAGAACTCGACAGCCTGGTCGCGCTGTGACGGCGCCCCGCGAATATCTAAAATACGATCATCCGGGCCAAGGAAAAGTGCAACCTCCTCAGCAGAGCCTCGAAACTGGAGAGTAGCACCCGTCTGGTCTCGAATCTTGGTAATCTTTTCGCCGCCCTTTCCGATCATGAACCCCGCAAACTCTTTCCCAAAGAGGAAGCGAGCCGCTGCACAGGAAGAGTACGCTACGCGACCTCCAACCCGCGGTGCTGGCATCCGGCCAGGTATGTACCGGAAGTCATCAGCCTGAACGCGGCCCTTGTCTGCCAAATCCTGCAACACGTCATTGGCCAGCACTGCCTGGCTGCAGCTAAACTTCACAACAAGATCTACCCAGTCGCATTCAGCATGGCAAGTTCTCATACAGGCTGCTGTGCAGTACACAAATGATAATGCAATCGAACAGCTGCTCTCACGATTTGAGAACGCTGACCTTTCAGCACCTGGGTTGCACGCCATGTCACTGCTTTGTCCTTGGCCTAACTGAATGAACTGGCGCTGGACAAGGAACCACGGGATTGTCAGGCATTCCGGTAATGCATTCTCTTCCCACGTCAATGTCCTCACATCACGGCAGCGCACAGTGCAGGACTGGGAAACCCACTACGCTCGCCAACCAAGAGACGGCGCCGGACTCGGCCATGATGTCACCTTCAGAAAATCCATATCGCGTAATCTTACAAGCCTAAGAACTCCGCACCAGGCAAATGGGCAGTACTTAGTGCTGTTAGGACTCTGATTTTGGCACCCTTGGTGCCAATCACTGCCCCAACTGCACACGATGGCATCACCAGAACGCAGATGTCCGATTCATCTTCCGGCACTCCTCGATTAATCACAGCTTTACAGCCCCCAGTCCTTTCATGCCTGGGACTTGCAGCACCTCTGATGTCACAAGTTTGCCATTTCTCGCGAAAGAACTTCTGCGAGCAAGAGTCCCTGAAATTCGAAAAGGGCAGCTACAACAGTTGTTAACGCCTCTTCCTTCTGAACTTTGGAGCCCGTCAAGGTCAATATCTTGTCGCCTCAGATAAACGATCAAAGCAGCTTTACACGAGCGTGGACAGCGCAAGGTCAAGTTCAGAAAATCAGCAAAAGCGACTCAAAGATGTAGGTGCTTCGTGTTCCGTTGAAACGGACCTTGGCTCCCGGCAACTGTCACTGCTACGGGACCCTATGGAACATTCGACCAGCACAAAGTGCTGTACAGGCACACTGTTGCGCCAGATGGATGCTGCAACAGCTGCCCACTCTCCGACCCAATTACAGTCGGGACGGAATCTTTTGGAATCAGCACACGCCATGGGATTGGATGGCTCATGCTCGCTCGCAAATCTTGTTTGTTTCGTTGATGCTGCTTTGGCGTTCCAGCTGGTTGGAATGTGTCTCATTGCCAGCAAAAACATCGGTACTTGCTATAGCAGCTGGCAAACTTCTTGGCTGAGCAAGACTACCGCATCGAAGTCGGCAGGGTATAGCGGTATAACTCATACTTCAACATGCGGTTCATGGACGCAATCCTGCCCATCATGTACAGATTGCAGAACAGCCGCGGAACGGCAAGGAAATCGTATGCCGCTCCTCATTTCCTTCCTGCCTCTCTGTGTGCTTCGACCAAGTCTACGAATGCCAAGTCATCTGGAACACTCGGTTTTCCTTGTGATGCGGCGTTCGCAAAAAACCACACCCAGCTGCAGGCTGCGGCAAGGCGGCCTCAGCAGTTTTGGACCCAACGCTCAACATTGAAAATGAACTTGAAAGCATTGCGGACGAAAGCTACATCACAGCAGACGAGGATTTAGGGGTTATGTAGGTATACTATATAGGTGTCATATAGGTACCTTATATAAGGATTATGTAGGTATATTATTTTGGTGTTATACAGGTGTATTCTACACGGGTTATGTAGGTCGATTATGTAGAGGTTATGTAGGTATAGATGGAGGGCCCGCCCCGGCGCGCACCTGCAAATCTCCAATCTATCGGACCAAGTCGTCTCGGATGTTGCCCCACCCTAACCCCTAAACCCTATATGACCCCTATACAATACACCTACATAACCCCTATATAACACCTACAGAACCCCTATGTAATACCTATATAACAATACACCTATATAAACCCCTATATAATGTGCCTATGTAACCCCTATAAAATATACCTACATAACCACTATAAAATGTACCTACATAACCCCTGTAGAATATGCCTATTTCACACCTAGATAATATACCTACATAACCCCTATATAATGTACCTATATAACACCTATATAATATACCTACATAACCCCCAAATTTTATTTACCTCCCGAACCCCTACAAAATATACCTACATAGCCCCTATATAATATACCTCCCGAACCCCTTTATAATATACCTACATAACCCTTATATAATATACCTCCCGAAACCCCATATAATATACCTACATAGCGCCTGTACAATATACCTCTTAAACCCCTACATAATAAACCCGTCACTCCCACATAATTTACCTATATAACCCGGCGGAAGCGTTTGTATTTTTCCTAGGCGTGGCTGTAAAGGATTTTCCTAGGCACGGCTGTGAAGGTTTCCTATAAGCCGCCATAGCAAGGATTGCTTATAGCCACGCCCTGGAAAACAAAGAACACGTCCGGCGGGCCGGAGGCGTATTTTTTGCCTACGCGCTGCTGGAAGGATTCCCTACAGCCACGGCACGTCATGAGATCGCATCATGGAAGAGTTTCATCAGCTCCCGGCTGCTTCGCAACCGTCTCTCTTAACGTCTTTTGCGTCACCTCACCTCCTGAGCGCTGGGACGAAGTAGCATTTTGAAGGAATGGTGAACGGTGGTGGCTGCGGCTACTATACGCTTTCAGTGTGCTTGCTGGATACTTGGCTCCTCAGGTTCCACGGCGTCATGGGTAATCTTTGCAGAAACACGCAACCGGGAATCACAGCAGGCGTTTTTCCTCATGGAGCTTCATAGAGTTTTCTGGCAGCTTCAGTACGAATTCCAGCACAGAGGAAGGCGGGATTCTTGACAAATGTCGACCGCAGCCTCCCTAAGCAGGAACTGTTTTGTTGGAGGCCCAGACCTCTGCCGGTCTACGCAACTATCATTTCCATACTGACTGCTGTTGCTTCTACTACTCCTATACTCCTACTCCTAACAGGCTTCAGGTCGGGCCCCCCAGGAGACGAAAAACAGGACACAGCAGCCAGGCCAAGATCCTGACTTCACTAGGAGTACAAAGAAGCTGAATAGTGCTCCATGGTCCTCCCCACCTTTGGTGGGCTGTCAAAAGGTTCCCCGCACTCAAATCATCTGGAGGCCTCCTGCCCCAACAATCACCTGGAAGAGTGTGAGCAACGAGGCAGTTGAGGCCCAAGCGCCGCTAATATCGAAATCCCCGTCTTCTGTCGAGGCTGTGGTCGTCGAGTCTGTTGTTGTTGTGTTTGCTGCTGTTGTCGTGGTAGTGGTGGTCGTGGTCGTGGTCGTAGTGGTCGTAGTGGTCGTAGTGGTCGTAGTGGTCGTAGTGGTCGTAGTGGTCGTGGTGGTCGTGGTGGTCGTAGTGGTCGTCGTTGGGCACTCTGTTGCAGCATCACTCATCGTGAAGCTATTGGCAGGCGAAGTGCAGCTGACATAGTTCCCCGCTGAATTGACTAACCAGTTGCCCAGATCAGCAATTGCCGTCTTCACGTCTGCCACAGTGCCACTGGTCACGCCTTGATAGCACATGCTGACCACACTTCCCTTTGTAATGGCATCGGCGGAGTTCGCTGTGAGGCCAGCAGGCAAGGCAGTCTGCCCCCCGTTGACGTATCCCCAAGTATCTGCTTCGCTGCTCGCGGCGCAAAGGGGGGTGTCGTCTCCGCTCACTGCAATCAATGTGTCACCGCCGTTTGAGAGCTGTTCACCTCCGTTTGGCCATGCGAAAGCATTGCCAGAAGTCTGACCCTGTACTCCGGCAAGGGTTACACCTGGCAATTGGCACGAGTCAGCGGTATATGTCAAGTCGTTAGTGCTGCTTGATCCAACCCAATTGCCGGAGCCGTCGACCATCCGAAAGGTGACGCGGATGGTCTCACCGGGCTCCAGCGGTTCCAAGAGCACAAGCTTGAAGCTGTCTGGGCCCTGTCCGTTAATGGCAAGGAAAGCACAGCTGCCTGGACCAAGAGCAGCAAGGCCGACACGTGCCAAGCCCAGAGCAAGCGCCAGACCGAGAAGCGCCATACTGGCAAAGAACTAGCTGTGGCTGTGGCAGGGGGTCGTTTGAGCAGAACTTCACAGTTCACGCATGTTCATGCTAACTTGTGCCGCTGATGCTACAACTGGTCCCACACTCGCCAAATGTGAGATCGGTCTAACTAAGCGAGAGCCGAGTAGACTTTAGATTGCACTGGGACACGGGCTGCATTGAAAGACAAGCAGGCCACAACTATCTTTACAGTGGAAAGCTCAGGTCAGGTCTACTCAGCCGCGATCCTGCATGATGTGACGCGTCAGGCGAGCGACATCTCGAGCATGGACCATCCTGATCAGAGGCATATGGCATGTCATGAATACTATAATAGCACTATAGTATTACAATTATACCATAATAGTACTATAGTATCATAAGAATACTATAATGGGACCATAGTAGTACTATGTAGTACTATATTACTACAATCAGTCACGCTGTGCAGAGACCCCCGCAGGATGTAGCTCTTCCCCTCGCCGATGACGCCAAGGGTAGACCGAGACCTAGAGTCTGAAGGGTGGAACATGGTTCAATAATAGTACTATAGCATTAGAATACCAATACTAAGTACTATAGTACTATAATAGTACTATAGTACTATAATAATCCAGAAGGAGCAGCAGGCACTGAGCGCGGCACTGCCAGCCTCTGTGAGTGATCGTGAAGATTCTGAGCGTGAAATCCAAAGTATATGCTTAGAATGAAAGCGTGCCTTTCAACTGTGTTGAAAGGCATGGTTTGTGTGTTCATCTTTCAGCGGGCAAGCGAAGACCCTCAGCACACAGACTTGTGCCGGATACATCTGCTCTTTACCAAGCCCCATGCCCTGCTCGCACACTGAAGGGTCAAAAGGTCACCTGCAAAGCAGAGGACTGCATGCGCTCCAAGAGAAAATGCTGCAGCACGGAGCTTTCAAACATCATCACTTCAGGTTTTTTGCACATCATATTAGCATTCTTACGGTGGCCAGCCCACCGTGCGAGGGGCGGTGGCATCGGCCACTGAGCTGAGCGGCTCCATGGTGTTTGTGGCGAGGATGCTATTTTGGGCACACCGGGCGGCTCCTCCTCACTGACCACTCACCGGTGGGCCTGACATCCGTCACCTAGAAAAGCTGCAGCTGAAGCGTATGGCGGTAAGCTCACATGTTAGGAGCAGCGCGCCAAGAGCTTACTCTTGCTCCGATTCTCCTGTATGCCCTCGAGCTGAGAGGCCAAGTGCAAGCCTGAGTTCTTGCATGTACTCGAAGATCTCTGTTGCCTTCTCACGATCCTCAAGAGGATGCTTATCTGGATGCCACTGCCGGGCCAGCTTACGGCAGCCGCGCAGTTTCTCATCGTCCGACAACGAGGACAAGCGCTCCAATTCCTCCCGCACGGCTGCCTTCTCTTCTGGATACAGTACGTTTTCGCCATACGGTGTCCAGGGCCGATCATGTGCAGGCACCTGAGCCGACAACCCAGGTACTTTGACATCCACCGTGCCACGCCAGCTGACGCTGGTCTTCGTCATGAAGAAATCTACACGATCGTTTTTGGCATCTTGGGTTGCATTGGACATATTGGACACACTATCGTTTCCCATGATGCTTGAATTTGCTTCTGCATTTTTCATTGGCTCAGGTCGCAGTTGCTGCTGCGCCCCGTACTTCACCTTAGGCATCTCCTTCACAGCATCCCCCGCGTGGTAGCTGGTGACTGTGACCGTAACAGGTCCTCCATGTCGACCTTTGATGCGAGGATCTGCTGGGATCTTAACAGATGCGCCATCTGGCGCTTCAACTTCTGCTCCATTCTGTATCAGCGCCTCTGGGCTGACTTTCCGCAGAGAAATCGACACGGCTGGGGAGTCGTAAACAACCGGAAGGCCGTCAACTTCAGCTCGCAGTTCTAACGCGGCCTCCGCCGCAATGACCTCTGCTTTGATGGCTTCCTGCGTAGTAGACCTTACAGGGCTGAAAAGCCTTAGCGCAACGACATCACCGGAGTCCTTGGCCGACTCACCGGCCCCCACAGGCTCTGCGTCCAGCGGATCCAGTGCCACAACGCGACTTCTCAGCGCAAGCAGAGCAAGCAGACACAACAACGCCCGCGACGCTCGCCCGGCGAGCAATGCGAGCATCAGAGCACCAGCTGCCCGAAGCACACAACTGTGCCAGTGACTATGCCGCAAAAGGGCAAACGCAGCGTTCAGAAGCCATGTGGGCAAATCAAGGAAGCCATGCTGGCATTGACCTGGCCAGCCGCCACCCTGCAATATTCAATGTCACTGTTGGGGCCAAACGACTACAGTATGGCGAAAAGAGGCGTGCTTCTTCAGCTAGCAGCTAGCGGCACACAGCGGCACTCTGCATCTTCTGACCCAAGCCTGGTGCGCGGGCAGCGTTCCTCAGCTCCCGTCATGCTTTTCAAGATTTGGCAGCTGAAAGCCATGATGTGTGCAAGTTCAAGGCATCTTGGCTTTTTCCTCGCGTTGCAGATGCTTGCTCTAGCACATGCTCAGATCTCCTTCTTCTGCAGGGATGGCGGCAGGGACTGCCTTAAAACTCAAAACTTGTTCCGTGTTTGTTTTGTGTCCAGCTGCTGCTGGGCCACTTCAGCTTCTCGGCCTTTGTCTTGTCGGTCATGAGCAGCGTGTAAAGATACCTGCCTGGCTGAAGGACAGTGCAAGGGCAGGATGCGGCAGGCGCTGCCTGACGCCTCCGACTTGCACATGTGCCGCTTGGGTGCTGCAGCGAATCTTGAACTTCGTCTGGGTTCCGTTCTTCTTGATCTTGACCGAGCGCGCGTCCTGCAATGTAGCAAGGCCAGACCAAGTGGATCCAGCTTGCTACGGCGGGAGCGCATGAGCTAGCTCGCCCACATGAATGACGGCAGGCAGCCTTTGGGGGTAGAGGGGTGGTGATTCCAGAATTCCAGATCGCATGTCAGCATCGTGTGCATCGCGCGATTTTGGGGCAGCCTTCAGCTTCAGATGCTGCAGCGCTGTTCGCAGTGCTCCAGGCGCATTGTGTTTCTCTGTGGTTTCCAGATGTATGGACAGCAGCACGAGCATCAACTGGCTTTTCGTCGGTAGTCAGGGGGAGGCTTCCGGGCTTCTTGTTGCGCACAACTTCTCCAAGGGCCTGCACCACATATATCTCACGATGCGGGCCGCGAGTCAGTTACCCTAAACCCTAAACCCCAAATCCTAAACCCGAAGTTTCCATGTTCTTTTCCATTATCCCCATATAACCCCTGTAGACCCTATATCATCGTCAGCATCACTGGGTGTCGGTGTCCATTTCTCGTGTTCTTGTGTCTTGGGGCCTGGCAAAACCACTGACACATGCAACGGCGGAAATGAGCAACTGCCCTGCGAGCTGACCCTAGGGGTACCTTTCTAAGGGGATTATAGGGGTTGTATAGGGGTTATATGAGGGCACTACAGGGATTATAAGGCTATATATGACTGCATGGTTTCATCACTGTTCCAGCTCTTCCTACTTCTGTTTTGTGATGGCGAAGTCTTTCAGGTCCATCTAACTGCTCCTATTAGAACGATGAAGTTCGTGATGCTAATGATGACATGCCTTCTGCTGGATAATGACGGCGCTTCTGCGCGTCCAGAACTTTCTGTAAATGACCAGCTGGTTTGCAGAAACTGCTCCTTGCGACGTGCGATTTGCAGGAACTGTCGAATCTCCGAGATCCTTAGCTGCTACGGAAGAACAGAAACTGGGCAACAGGGGGAAAGAAGAACGATAGCAACATCAGAAATGTAAGAAAGGCCTCGCAATCCTTGTTTTCCGAGGCACTGCTTGGGCATTCTGGCACTTGAACGATGAGATCTGCACGCGCAGGACGGGTGTCACCAGCAGTCATTTGTGATTTTTTTGTGCAACTTGTACTACCCTCCACTTACGTGTCCGCGCGCACCAGTGCTTCGCTGCCTGGCCCGCGTCTGCAGTCTTGGTTCCGTTCTAATCACAGAGGCCGCCGTAATTGAGCCACGTGCCAGGATACATCTTGCACGTTCACTGCCCAGGATGCTAAAAAAAGCTCTGAAGCTTCAGGAACCCATCGTCTCCACTGGCCTGCAGACAAATCCTGTGCCGCTCTGGGCACAAATCCGTGAGTCAAACGCCATTTCTGTCCTCTTGGCGCCGGCTGCACCTAGTTTTTGGTGAATCTACGAGACGCGGGTGATTCAAAGTTTGGCAGGAGCCCTCAGCACAGCCCCGTGCTGTAATGACTTCCCTCTTCAGCAATAAACTTCCAGAAGAAAGAGCAGAAGCAGCACCAATCTCATAGCTATGCTTCGGCTTGTCCCTTCTAGCATCAAGAAGTAGTACAGCAAGAAGCCAGCTATGTCAGGCCAGTTCAGTGTCCGTCAGACAGAGTTTGCCTGCAGGATCAGTCACGAGTGTCACACAGTGAAGAAGTGACTGCATGCACGAGGCCTTGAGGATTCTCACCAAGGTAGGATCCTGAAGCCCCCAAGGCTCAAGGCAGCCATCCCCCCATGCTGGCCCCCCAAGCGTCTGAGGTCGGGGCTATGCGTAGGGCAGCTGGCTTTAGCATAGGCACCTTGGAAGCAAGGAAGATGCTGACGATAACTAGCTAAATCCTTTCTGAGCATCCGTGCCGCTTTTGCTACGCCTGCCAACGCCTTTCGAGCTGTTGCCTCGCGAGTCGCTAGCACTGCTGAAACCGCTCGCAAAGGGGAAGAGAACGATGGAAGTTCAGAAAGCGCTTTGCCCTGGCCTTGAAACGTGCAACTGCAGCTGCCCTTTCTGTACTCACAGTGAGCGTGCACCTTGGATTGTTTGGCTCGTGTGCACAGGCCTCAAGTGCTTGCCTTTGCTGCTGGGGCACCATATCCGAATCGCCAGGTCTTCATCAAGCCTTGGCACCAGCAACTTCTGCATGGGGTTTCTCTCTCCGGCCAGCCATGTAAGGCGCGAGCACATCATGCTTCTGATGGTAGCTGTTTACGTCCCCAATTGGCAAAGCTGTCAGCCAAATGATTGGAACTGTGCAAACCTCAGCTGATCCTTGCTGGATAATCTCTCTTGCAACGTGATTTCTGCATTTGACGCACAGCTGAAGGTGCCCACATTTACGAGGAGTGCAAGGACGGCCCATCCTAAGTTCTTGGTGACCTCCCTGAAGCCCAAGAGGTATCCTCACAGAACAGCTGCCAGCTTTAGTGCTCCAGATCTTTGGCCAGAGTTTTACCCCACCTGCTGTCTTCAGGAGAACCAGGAAGAGCTGTTTCAAGGCAAAAAAACCTCAGTATTGGTATGCCTTCCCTTTGCTGCAGTTGCACCTGAAGTCACTTGACTACAAAAAGACTCAGAGCGGCTGTCAAGATCGTGCACGATGGGATACCGCAGGGAAGCATCAAAGTGTCCCCAAAAATTGCAGATGAAGACGACCTCAGAAGAGATGGAGCCGCGCAAATTGTCGGGAATCCTGCGTTATTTGGAAAGCAAGCAACGATGAGGCTGCGGAAGGATAGGACGCCTGCGATACAGAGCAAGACCTCTTCGAAAGTCAGCCTTGGTTTCCTATCATTTCCCATGACAGCTCAAAACACCCCATGGTCAGAAATCTGCTGTCACTTGTACATGATTCAAACAAACAACCTAGCAGCAAGCACGCTCAGCTTCTTGAAGCAAAGTCAGACTAAAAGGAAATGCAGGAAAGCAGCCACAGCTTACTATCTGTCACTTTGGAGCCTGGACTCTGGGACCCCAATTCTATCACAGTATCATAAACCTGCCCAGCCCCCAAGATACTACCAAAGAATCTCGTGTGGATTTGCACCGAGGAAGTTTACGGGAGGTGCAAAACGTGACGGGACTATCCATCCCAGGCCACTATTCGTAGGTCTTCTAGATTCTGGCTGATGTCCATCTCTGCGCTGCGGGGCACGTGTGGAAAAGGGAACTACCACCATGTATACGAAGAAATCAGAGCAATGGCAGTATCCCGATTTTAGACGTCCGCTGTCCTTTACTGTTTTCTCTTGTGCACCATCTGGTTTCAGGCATGCCGCGGCACTCCAAACTCACATGCATAAGCCGGACCATTCAACAAGCCCTCTCTCACAGGGCTTCCAGTTTTCAAGATGGCTGTGGTGACTTGAGAAAACTCATTGTACTCTGCTATGCTTGCTTCAGAACAGCACAACTACCCCCCAAAGCAGAACATACAAATACGCGGAAATGTGCTACAGTCTATCCTGCCAATCCATTGACGTCACAAGCACCACCTCGCGACAGCAGGTACACGTCTGGTCTGCAAAAGAAGCATAAGTGTTGTGTTGGCTACGAGAGGGGTGGGTCCATTACACTGCAAAACCAAGCTAACAGTGGTGGAGTCAAGTTGCGCCAACACCACCCCAATCAGGATGCGTCGCACTTTGGGTGGATCGCCTCAAAATTTCAACCAGAGATATCATACCTTATTTAAGCAACCTTTAAACTACTTGATGTCATGGAATATCAAACCAAGGCACTGCCGTCAACATATTCTGGCCAGAACCAACACACCTCGGCGGCGAGGACATGATCCGTTGTCCATCTGCATGCACGTTGCAGCCCCGATGCTCCGAGGGTGAACAGCAGCGTGAAGGCTGCAAAGGCCGCCAACAGCGCTGCCACCATGGCCGAGTCATGGAATCTCACTCATTCGTTGGTTGTTTACCATCATCGGCTGTTCGAGGTGCTTCTACCATCTTCTACCGGTAATCTGCCTACGATGCGATACATATTCACTTGGTCGGGACATCATGCCGTAGCTGGCAGGTGAATCCTGCCTGCAATAGAAGATCTTTCTGGTTTTGGGGCACATGATGTCACCCTTGGCCACCTTATGAGCCAATGCTGCGAATCTAACACTCTGGTGCATGATGAATTTGCGGCGCCTAATTGCAGCTATGAAATCACCTTCTTGGACTTGTTTCGCCTGAGTGGCCAGCTCAAGCCCGCTGCATACCCGATGGCCATGAGCCCTGTCAGCGCACTCACAGTTTGAAAGAAAATTTTGACGTCTCCGAGCCAAGTGAATAATGTTGACTATGTTCTCGAGCGCCTTTTGAGTAGGATAAGTAGGAAATCCAGAGAGAAGGAGTGGGAGGCACAGAGAGCGAGGGAGAGACACAGACGGAGGCGAAACTAGAGAAATGGTGACCACATGTCGGATTTGAAGCACAAGCCGCTGCTGCACAGCACCCCTCACTCTCTACTGACACATGCTTCTTGACCTGCACATCGGCCACATCCGCTCATGAAGCAACTCCAGGATCTAGCATACCGCAACCATCTGCAACCTGCTCCTCACTGCATGTTGCAAGTACGGATGCCACAAGCTTCGAGTGAACCTGCATAATATCTCCAGAACTCCAATTGACGAGAAAAGAAGTATAATCATAGTCTTTATGCACACTTGGGCCATCTGGCTCCAGGCATCAGGCTCATGCAGCATAGGTTCCACTGAAGTCTCATCACTGGAAAACTCCTGAAGCAAAGGAGGTGGAAACAGCCAAGGGCCTCTCATACCAGTATGCCACATGCAGGCTTCGGACATCAGCCTTCTAGTTTGAGGGATAAACTGCGCCTACCAAATCTTGAGCAGCAAGACATACACCAGGGTCAGACCATGCCAAAATAATAACTATAATGATAAGAATAACAATAAATAGTAGTAATAGTAACTACGGTACCAAGAACAGTGTCCACTCTCACACCTGGAGATCACAGGCACGTTGCAGAGACACGCCACGGGTAATTGAATCTCTGTTCTACTTTGCACGTGTTCCCTTATGTCTGGATTAAATGTGTCACCCTTTTTGCCTTGCATGACTTCGGGTGTCAACTACCAAGGCCTGCGAAATCTGTGTGGGCTGTGATTGACTTTGTCCACCCTGCGCGTGCCCAGCAGACACCGCAGCCCTCGAGCTTCAAATTTGCATGTATTATGTTTTGCAACCCTCAACCGCAAACAGCTGAAGTTTCTGGACAGCTGAATTGAACGTTAACGTAGTGATCACAACAATTTGCACAACGAGGGCATAACACAAGCAGCTAACCACAAATGATTACAAATGTGGGCTCATGCGAGATTTCCTTTGGAAGTCTCGCTAAGGCAGCGAGCTTTTGGGACCCGCGGAATCCGCAGCTCCCAGCTGTCCTACATAGAGGTCCTAGCCCCCTGGTCTGACTTACATGTACTAGAACGAAAAACATTCCAGGTCCTGTGCCGTCTGGCAGCTAAAAGACACATCCACGAAATGGATGTTGGCGGTGGAGTGTGAAAAGGCGCCCGGCATCAGTATCCTGGTTGCACACGCACTCCACAAACCCATCCTTGGCAGTCTACTCTCCGCTGAACTACAGGCTTTTTCCCGTGATGATTGACCAGCATGCGCACTGCCGCTGCTGCGTAGCATGAATTTCAGTCTACAAAACTCCACGTGGTAAGATGCAAGGGCCATGGCCAACGAGAGCTAGCAGCGGCACAGGCAGAAGCTGCTGCATCGAGGCCTTCCAACTCATGGGAAGACAAGTGGTTGAATGCTGATAGCAGAGGGCACACCTGATCAAGAGCAGTTCCAGGCTGGAGGAATCCATGATGGATGACGAGACAGTATTAGCTAGGATTGATGGTGAGGATAGTGAGAAGGGAGGAGGAGGAGGAGGAGGATAAGGGTGATGCAACAGAGCACACACCAAAAAATGCAATCCAAGAAAGGCGAAAGATGAGATTGACCGCCGTGGGACATGAAGATAAGCATCGATGGTCATTGTCGGCAATTATGAACCTGATGGTGGTGCAGGATGGTGATGATGATGACGATGGTGATGGTGAGGGTGAGGGTGAGGGTGAAGGTGATGGTGATGGTGATGGTGATGCTGATGGTGAAGGTGAAGGTGAAGGTGATGATGACGACGCTGATGGTGATGGTGATGATGAAGGTGAAGGTGATTGTGATGATGATGATGGTGATGACGACGGTCATGATGACGGTGATGATGTGGTAGCAGTGGACGAGGAGGATTCAGCTGAGGACGAGAAATACAGAAGCAAAATATGCAAAAATGGCACCCGATGACGATTTGTCATGACAGAAGCCGATGATGGCAACAAAGCAAGCCGCCGCAAACACGAAACTGGGCCTTGTTTGTTGGTTTCCCTCTGTGGAGTCTTGAAACCTCCCGGGAACCTCCCCAAAAAACCGCCAACCCGAGCCGGTGTGAGGCCTGGCCATGGGCCCCCTCCAAGGAGAGGCACGGACTTCGGATCTGTTTGTTTTTTCTCTTCTCTATGCATGGAGGCTTAAAACCACCCGTGGCTCTCCTCTACCCTTGCCGAGGCTGTCTCAAGGTAGCTGTTAGATTCTGATGCTGGTTCTTCTGGCTGTCGCACGGGCCAAGCTGATGATGGTTCTGTTGATGGTGCTTACGCGAGCGCAGTCACGAACTACAGCGACAACGATGGACAAGGATGTCAATGATGATGCTGTAGCTGAACCCTGCTGATAAGGCAAAGTTGAGCGAATGACAGAAACGACATCATGAGCATGATGCAGGATGATGATTCCGAGGCTGATTGCGACAAAATGTAAGGAAGAACTGGACAATGCTAAACAAGAAGCATGGCATGATCTATCACAGACCACCGGTGACAAATGATAGCGGACTTTGAGTTTCCGCTCGATATGACTGCAACGGCAACGGTGTGGATGGTGATTATGGTACATTATGGTGATGACAAATCTTCTGATGATCAAGATGATGTTGATTGTGATGGTGATGCTGGTGTTTTTTGGCGGTTGCAATGATGAAGCTGATCACGAAGCTGATGGTGATGATGATGATAATGCTGATTGTACTCATGAAGCCGGTGATGGTGATGCCTCTCGCACTAAGTTTGAGTGTCACAACCTGGCATTCAGAATCAACAAATAATAGAATCCACAAGTAACATTTGCCCAGAAAAATGTTGTTGACGTGCGATAGTTGGAGGCTTTTTTTTACGAAGTCTCTCTTCCAGGAATGAGCACTGAAGTGAAGTCGGTCAAGACAATAATGTTACGCTTAGCACAAGCATCCATGCAGGCTAAGGAAACAGCATTTGTGTTACCGGAGCATACGGTTGCCCTGGTATCCGTGCTGGCGAGGATGCTAATTACCGTTAATCCTTATTATGGGGTTTTGCTTAATGTAAAATAAAATGGAAACTACTCTAATATGATAGGATATATATAAACCCAATATAGTAGTTTCCGTTTTCTTTTCCATTATCCCCATATAACCCCAATGTAGTCCCGATAATCCCTATATAACCCAATATAATAGTTTGCGTTTTCTTTTCCATTATCCTGATAGAACCCTGTAATCCCTATATAGCCCAATATTGTAGTTTCCATGTTCTTTTCCATTATCCCTCCGATAACCCTTATACATAAATATGTATACGATAGATATAGACGATAATAACCCCAGTTTCCATTTCATTTTCCATTTTGTTTTCCATTTGATTCTCCATTATTGCGGTATTATCCCTATATTACCAGGT